CCCTCGATCCTGATCGAGGACGCCTTCGACAGTGCCCGAGGAGCACGGAGCACGAAGCCAGCGCCTCGCGATCCTCCGCGGCCGTGGGCGCCTCGCGGGCACCCCGTGTGCGCTCGGCGGGCGCGGCGAGGGGCCGCGCAGGGTGCCCGCCCGTGGCCTCTCCCCGGGGGGCGCCGCGCGGGCGCCTCGTGGGCGCTCGGTGGGCGCGACAGGGCGGCCCGGGTGGGGCCCGCCTCGGGTGCGCCGCGTGGGCGGCCGCCCGGCTGTCGCGCGGCGTTCGCCGCGTCTCGAGTCGACCGGCGGATGGGCCTGCAGGAGCGACTTGCCCCGAGCCCGATTTTCACGTCGACTCGTCAGCAAAAGCACGTCAACGATTCGTAGGTCTGCGAAAGCTCTACGAATGGCCCGTGGATTCGACAAGATAAGGCAATTCTGGGGCAAATCAATTCTGTAGTCGATCACCTACTCGAACATAGATTCAGGCGCCGGAAACAATTAAGCAACACTTGCGCGTAACATATGGTGTGAACTCGTCCCCCCTCCCCCCGAATGCAATGTTGGGCTCGGATCTCCCGAGTTTGAGTGTCGGGCCAGTGATGCGTATACGTGCCGGCTTTGAATTGCGGGGGGGGGAAGTTGTTCAATTTTTTCACTCAACCGTTGCACCGCAAAGCTTGCACCAGATACAGATGGGGCCCATGCCAAGAAACTCTTTGCTTGCCTCCAGGGTGCACTGGGCTTCTTGGGTTCCGATGGTTTTGCGATGGAGGGCGTGGCGCTCCCACGCTAAAAAGTCCATGGACGCCCTGGGGTCTCGGGGTTTGGTTTCTTGTGGAGGGTTTCTTGTGGAGTGGCCTTTACTGTAGCGTTCACAGCATAGCTTTCGCCACATAGATTGCACTGCAAAGCTTGCACCAGATACTGTCAAATATCTAGGGCCAGCTTGCAAGCTTGCCCTCGTAGGGCCAGCTTGCAAGCTGACCCTATAAGGGCACCTTACATCTTTCGGTTCTGGTCTCCTTAGCGCGTTTTCCGCTTCACCGGCCCAAGGGTACCCCTGCAGGCGCCCGCATCTTTCGCTTTCGCGCTGCAGATCTTCCCAGGTCGGCGACGCAAGGATGGGGGATGATGAGGGTACCCTTGGAAATCCTTGCGCGCCCTTGCGCGTGTCGCGCTGGATGGAAGCATCCTGCCCTGGTTCCGCGAGTTGGGCGTTTGGCATGGGTTTTTGGGCATCCTTGGCGATTCTGCATTGCCTGATATTTGCGCATGCGTCGTTGATTGAGAGGGTCATTGACATTTGTGCACTCATTACAATTGCGCCTGGGTTTGTCGTTTGTTCTTTTTGTGTACGCTTGGATGTGTCAATGTATCTGGCTCGATATTATTGTCATTTGATGATCGGCACGTTTGGTTTTTTCCCCAATTCTGTGGTGTTGGGTCCTCGTTTTGAAGAGCCCGCGCACCGCGTTCTCCTTCCTCCTCCCGCTGACCCTTCCCTCTCCTCCCTCCCATCACTGCCTCTGCCCACCGCATTTTTGTGTTTCGGGAAACCCAGTGCAACGCTTCGTGGCCCCGTGGGGAGCTCCACCGAAGGCCCCAGCGGCAGGGTCCACATGGCGGCGCCGCCCCAGCTTGGCGCACCCCTCACACGGTTTGTGGGCCCGTATGGAGCTCCACCGAAGGCCTTAGTAGCAAGGTCCATTTGGCGGCGCCGCCCCATTCGGGCGCACCCCTCACACGGTTTGTGACTCCATAGGGAATCCAACCGGCGGCCCCAGTGGCAGGGTCCACAAGGCGGCGGTGCCTCAAGTTGGCGCACACATGGTTCGTGGCCCCATAGGAAGATCAGCCGAAGGCCCCAGTGGCACGGTCCACAAGGCGGCGGTGCCCCAAGTTGGCGCACACATGATTCGTGGCCCCTTAGGGAGATCAGCCGAAGGCCCCAGTGGCAGGGTCCACATGGCGGCGCCGCTCCATGCGGGCGCACCCCTCACACGGTTCGTGGCCCCGTAGGGAGCTCCACCGAAGGCGTTAGCGGCAGGGTCCACATGGCAGCGCCGCCCCATGTTGAAGCACCCCTCAAACGGTGCGTAGCCCCACGGTGAGCTCCACCAGGGGCTCCAGTAGCAGTGTCAACATGGCAGCGCCGCACCATTTTGACGCCCCCTCACACGGTTCGTGGCCCCAGATGGAAATCAACCGAAGGCCCAAGTGGCAGGTTCCACATGGCGGTGCCGCCCCATTTGGTCGCACCCGTCGCACGGTTCGTGGCCCCATAGGGAGACCAGCCGAAGGCTTCATTGGCAGGGTCCACATGGTGGCGCCGCACTATTGTGGCGCACCCCTCACACGGTTCGTGGCCCCATCGGGCACCCCACCGAAGGCCCCAGTTGCAGGGTTCACATGGCGGCGCCGCCCTAATTTAGCGCAGCCTTCACACGGTTCGTTGTCCTATTGGGAGCTCCTCCGAAGGCCCCAGCGGCAGGGTCCACATGCACATGGCGGCGTTGCCCCATCTTGGAGCACCTATCACACGGATCGTGGCCCCATCGGGAGTTCCACCGAAGGCTTGAGTGGCAGGGTCCACATGGCAGCGCCGCCCCATTTTGGCACATTTTCTACACGGTTCGTGGCCCCATAGGAAGATCAGCCGAAGGCTTTTGTGGCAGGGTCCACGTGGCGGCGTCGCTTCTTTGTGGCGCACGCTTCACACGGTTTGTGACCCCGTAAGGAGCCCAGTAGCAAGGTCCACATGGCGGTGCCGCCCCATTCGAGCGCACCCCTCACACGGTTCGTGGCCCCGTAAGGAGCTCCACCGAAGGCCTCAGTGGCAGGGTCCACATGACGGCACCGCTCCATGTTGGCGCATTTGTCCTACGGTTCGTGGCCCAATATGGAAGTCAACCGAAGGCCCAAGTGGCAGGCTCCACATGGCGGTGCCGCCCCATGTGGGCGCATCCTTTACACGGTTCGTGGCCCCGTACGGGGAGCAGCCGAAGGCCTCAGTGGCAGGGTCCACATGGCGGCGCCGCACTATTTTGGCGCACCCTTCACACGGTTCGTGGCCCCCTAGGGAGCCTTACCGAAGGCCCCAGTGGCAGGGTCCACATGGCGGTGCCGCACCCCTCACACGGTTCGTGGCCCCATTGAGAGTTCCACCGAAGGCCCCAGTGGCGGGGTTCATAATGGCGGTGCCGTCCCATTTTGGCGCACCTATCGCACGGTTCGTGGCTTTATAGGGAGTTCCACCGACAGCGGTGCTACAGCATTGTATGCACAATTGCATTTGGTTTGGTGTTTGGGCCGTTCGTCAGGATAGGTTGAGTGTGTTCGAGGAGTTTGGCGCCACCCATGCCCTTATCCCCTTGATTGGTTCGACTCGGTGGCTGCTCAGTGGCCGTTTGTCCTGATCATCCAGCTTTCTTGCTCGTCCCCTTCTTTCTCGCTCACACAAGAACACTCGGTTGAAGGATTGCCCAACGAGGCAAGACACGCTTGCATCCAAACAGCTCCATCCGTATCGGCAATGTTGACCGCGCTCGGCTCGCCGGCCGATCATCCTCGCCGCCCGTGGGCGGGCAAGAGGAGGGGGAAAGATGAGGAACATGATGCTGATCATGGTGGTGCTGATGATGATGATGTTGTTGTTGATGATGATGATGATGATGATGATGATGATGGTGATGGTGATGGTGATGGTGATGGCGCTGATAATGATGATGATGATGATGATGACGATGACGATGGTGTTGACGATGATTATGACTATGCTGCTAATGATGATGACGATGCTGATGCTGATGATGATGGCGAAGGCGATGATGATGACGATGGCGATGATGCCGATGATGATGCTGCTGATGATGACGATGACGATGACGATGTCGATGATGCTGATGCTGCTGATGATGATGATGATGAGGATGGTGGTGGTGATGATGCTGCCGCTGATGATGATGATGGTGATGATGATGGTGATAATGCTAATGCTAATGATGATGATGATGATGATGATGATGATGATGCCGAGGATGATGATGATGCTGGTGATGATGATGATGATTATTGTGATGATGATGATGATACTGATGATGCTGATGGTGATGATGGTGATGGTGATGCTGATGATTTAGATAATTATGCTAGTGCTGATGATGATACGGATGATGATGATAATGATGCTGATGATGATGAGGATGAGGATGAGGATGAGGATGAGGATGATGATGATGATGATGATGATGATGCTGATGATGATGCTGATGCTGCTGCTGCTGCTGATGATGATGATGATGATGATGATGCTGATGCTGACGATGCTGACGATGCTGGCGATGCTGATGCTGCTGCTGCTGCTGCTGCTGATGATGATGATGATGATGATGATGATGATGGTGATGATTTTGACGATGAGGAGGCGGAGGAGGAGGAGGAGGAGGAGGAGAGGAGGACGGGGAGGAGGAGGAGGAGGAGGAGGAGGAGGAGGAGGAGGAGGAGGAAGAAGAGGAGGAGCAGGAGGAGGAGGGAGGAGGAGGGGGGATGCGAAGGAGGAGGAGGAGGAGGAGGGAGGACGACGAAAACGATGCGGAGGACGGAGGGGGGCGGGGAGCCTTCCTCTTCCCCTCCTCCACCACCCTCCAGCTCCCCCTCCTGTCTGGCTCCACATCCACCGCGTCTCAATCTTAGAACGTTTACCTCAACCTAACCTCCTCCTCGTCCTCCTCCTCCTCCTCCTTCTCCTCCTCTCCTCCTCCTCCTCCTTCTCCTCCGTCGTCCTACCTCTCCTCTTCCGTCCCCTCTCTCCCTCCCTCTCTCCCTCTCTCCCTCCTTCTCTCCCTCTCTCCCTCCCTCTCTCCCTCCCTCCCCTCCTCAGGCCCCTCCTCTCCCGCCTCCTTCTCCTCCTCGTTCTCCTCCCTCCCCCTCCCTCTCCCTCCTCCTCGTTCCTCTCCTTGCGTCGATACGTCCTCGGCGCACGTCTTCTCTCGCCGCTGGCCGAGGAGCCCGCGGGCCGCGCTCGGCCGCCGATGCGGAGCTCGGCGGGCAGTCGTGCCCTGCAAGCTGCCCTGGACGAGGCCCCTCGTCCTCGTCATCGTCGCCGGCGTCCTCGTCGTCGCCATCGTCAGCGCCCCTCGTCCTCATCCTCATCCGCAGCAGCAGCAGCGGCAGCAGCAGCAGCAGCAGCATCAGCATCAGCATCAGCATCAACATTAGCATCAGCAGCATCATCATCATCAGCAGCATCATCATGATCAGCAGCAGCAGCAACATCATCATCATTATCATCATCATCATCATAATCATCATCATCATCATCATCATCATCATCATCATCAGCATCATCATCATCATCAACAACATCATCATCATCATCATCATCCTCATCATCATCATCATCATCATCATCATCAGCATCATCATCATCATCGTCGTTGTCATCATCATCATTAGCATTATCATCCTCATCATCATCATCATCATCATCATCATCATCATCATCATCAGACTCATCATTGTTAGTGTCAACGTCATTGCCATTGCCATTACGTATCATCATCCTCGTCCCAGTCCTTGTTCTCGTCCGCCTCATCATCTGCCTCCTCCTCCTCCTCCTCCTTCCCCTCCTCCTCCTCCTCCTCCTCCTCCTCCTCCCTCGTTCTCCCTCGTTGTCCCTCTTCTTAAATATTTCAAGCTTCATTCGACTTCCTATGCTTATGATTCCTTGTCCTCCTCCCCCTCCTCCTCCTCCTCCTCCTCCTCCTCCTCCTCGTCCTCCTCCTCCTCCCTTATCACCCCACGTATCACTGAGCCCGCAGAGCAGGAGTCACGGCGGGACACCAGAGGGAAGCACGCACGCAGATGCTGCAATCAGTAGGTGCTCGGGACACGGCTTCGACGGACATCGGCACAGCTCGTTGCAATATTTCTCAGGGCCATCTTGGCGTCCCTTTGGTGGGTGCAGGCGGCCGTCAGAGCCAACAACAGAGGGCAGTTGGAGGTCAATGAGCCACGAAGTGGCGTGAGGGGTGCGCCGAATTGAAGCTTCCCTGAACCATCTGAGCGGTCGGCTGAGGGCCCCGGGGAGTCCAGGAGGAACGAAATGCGTGAGGAGTGTGCTGAGTTGAGGCTCACTTTAGCCGTCTTGAGGGCCAGCGGATCGCCACTGGAGGTCCTTGGGGCACAAAATGTGTGAAAATGCGTGATGGGCGTGTTAAATTGAGGTCGCAAGGATCAGCAGTCTTTGGGGCCAGCCGAGCTCCCATGATGCACAAAGTGCGTCGGGGGTGTGCCAAATTGAGGCTCCTAGGGTAATTGTTCTCCGAATCCCTCGTGTTTTACGTGTCTCAGAAGCTTAGGGAGGGAATTTCTGATGGTGCGCTGGAATGAGGCTTTTGCAGCCCTGAGGGCGCATATCACTCGGTTTCTACGTGTCCAAGGAGCTGTCACGCACGTGGTCTTCGCGCTGGGAACACGTTTCATTCGTATTTCTTCGTGCCCCCAGAAGAATTCAGGGAATCGGTCGGCGGAGTCCGCGAAGGGTTTTTTGCATGCTTTATGCATTCTTCTCACTCTCCTCGATTTCATCAGCATCTCATCATCTTCCCTTGACGTCTAACACGGCGAGGGCTCGCAGGGGGCCCGTCGAATTCAATGTATTCGCTCATTCCGCCAGCCCATACTGCATCATCGCTGGCTCTTGCCTGCGTGCTCGCGGGGGCTGAGGATGCGGCAGGTTGCGATTATGTTCCCTGAGTTGTCTCGTCAACTTCGCTTTCGATGGAAACAGTGCCAGGGTGGTTGCAAGGGAGCGCTCTAGGCAGGTATGCCGAAGGTACTCTGAAGGTACGTCGGACAAAGTTGTTGAAGGTACGATGAAGGTACGACGAATGCACGATGAAGGTACGCGTGCCCAAATCAGCGAAGGTACGCTGAAGGTATGCCGAGGGTAGACAAGACTGGATGGGGCGGAAGGTGACAGACCAGTCCCCTCGCTCCCCGAGACTCCGGACCCAGAAAGGGACCACACGCGACGGACCAAGAAACGAACCCATTACACAGGATTCACGCTCCCAGGGCCACGATCCCTAGTCAATTACACTCTGTCCGCGCCCCCAGTGGCCAGGATCCGCCGTAAATTACGCTGTGGCCGCCAGGGCCAGGATCCCTCGTAAATTACTTTGTGTCCGCCCCCCCCCCTGGGCCATTGAAAAAAACAGGCTCTATCCGGAATCCGGGAATCGGGAATCCAGAATAGAATTTGGAATCCAGAATCCGGAAATCGGGAATCTTTGTATCCGGGAATCCGGAATCCGGGAATTTGGAATCCAGAATCCGGAATTCGGAATCCGGAATCCGGAATCATGAATTTGGGAATCCAGAATCCGGAATCCGGAATCCGGAATTTGGAATCCGGGAATCCTGGAAACCGGAATCCGGACTCCGGAATCCGGACTAGCATTTGGAACTGAATCTGGAATTCGGAATCCAGAATCCGGGGATTAGGAGCTGGGGGAACCGATGCTCGCCAATTCGGATCTCGGAATCAGCAAGTCGGGGTCTGCAATTCGGAATCTTTAATCTGGGACGCGGAATCTGGCGACCCACAAGGAGGGAGGCAGAAATCGGAAATTCGGCAATCCGAAATTTGAAATCCAAGAATTTGGGTGTAAAGGGTCGGTTGTTAGGGTGTTAGGGTGAATCGGGCGTTCGGATTTGAGGGTGTTGTGGTAGGGTTAGAGAGGTCAGGTTAGTGTTGCACGGTTAGGTTAGGGTGTCAAGAAATGAGTGTTAAGGTTAGTGTCTTACGGTTCGGGTGTGCGGGTTAGGTTTGGGGTGTTAGGGTTCGTGTGTTAGGGTGTGGCTTGGGTTCGGTGGTTAGTGTTAGGTGGTTAGGGTTAAGGTTAGGGTGTTCCGTTTGGGGTTCGGGTGTTCGGGTTGGTGTTTTGCGGAGGGTTAGGGTTAGGGCTAGGGTGTAAGGGTTAGGGTGTAAAGGATGAGGGTGTTAGGGTAAAGGGTATACTGGGTTAGGGTGTTGGTGTAATGTGTTAGGGTTAGGGTGTCAGAGTCAGGTTGTTTTTGTTTTGGGTGTTGGTGTTAGGCTCTACGGCTAGGGCTAGGGTTAGTGTTACTGCGTTAGGGTTAGGGTTGGGAAATTCGGGTTAGGTCAGGCTTAGGGTGTTCGGGTTTGGTTAGGGTGTTAGGGTCAGTGAGTTAGGGTTCCGGCTAGGGTTAGGGGGTCAGGCTTAGTGTGTTTGTTAGGGTTAGGGTGTAAGGGTTAGGGTGTTGGGGCTTGCGGATGCGAGTTAGGATGTGTGTGTGTGTGTTAAGATTGTTAGGGTGAGGGTGAGAGGGTTACGATGATAGGGTTACGGTGTTAGGGTTTGGGTGTTAGTGTCAGGGTTAGGGTGTTAGGGTTACGGCGTTAGGGATAGGGTTAGGGTTTGAGGGTTTGGGTTGGGGGGGGGGGGGAGAGTGTCAGGGCTAGGGGTTGGGGGCAAGGCTTAGGAGGTCAGGTTGTTGGGGTAAGGTGTTAGGGTAAGGGTGGTGGGGCCCGTGTGTTAGTGTTAGGCTGTTAGTGTCGGGGTGAGGGTTCTAGGGTCAAGGTTGTAAGGGTTAATGCGGTAGGGTTGCGCCTTTGGGTTAGAGTGTTCGGGCCAGGGTGCTCGAGTTAGCATGTTAGGGTTAGTGTTGAGCGTTAGGGTTCGGTTGATCGGGTCAGGGTGCAAGGGTCGGGGTTCTCGGGTTGCGGGGATTGGAGTTAGGGGTCAGGGTTTGGGCGTGAGGGTGTTGTGGTTCAGGGCGAGGGTTACAGTGTCAGGGTTAGGGTGTCAGGGTTAAGGTGTTAGGATCCGGGTGTGAGCGTCTGGGCGTTCGGATTATGGTGTTGGGGTCAGGGTGTTAGGGTTCGGGTGTCAGGATTAAAGACTTCTGCTTTATCTTGTTACGGTTAGGGTGTTAGGAATCGCCTGTTGGTGTTATGTGGTGTTCGGGTTCGGCTGTTAGGGTTGGGGAGGCGGGGGGTCGGTTTATTGTCTTAGGGATTTGGGCGGGGTGCTCGTCCATGTCCTGTCCGATGCGATTCCAAGAGCCCGGACTCCAGAATGCGGATGCGGGATGGGGAATCTGGAATCTGGAATCCAGAATCCAGAATGTGCAATTTGGAACCCGCAATCCTGAATCTGGAATCCAGACTCGGGGAGGAGGAGGAGAAGGAGGACAGGAGGTTGGTAGGAGGGGTAGGAGGAGGGAGGCGGGAGGGATTTCAGGAAGACAATGGTGGCAGGAGGGATAAACGGAGGGGGGAGGGATAACGTAGGAGGAGTGAGACCAGGAGGAGTAGGGCCTCCTCGAACTCAAGCAATTCTCCCGGCCGTTTTTGGTGACCGTATACATCCTCTGGTGTGGTGTTGTCGGATCAAACAGGACCTAGTCGAGCAGAGACAACAAAGCCTCTGAGTGAATCGAGAGACCAGGTCTGTCACAGTATACCTCTTGGAGGCGGCGCCCGTGTCCAGCGTGAGGCGGCGCCCGTGTCCAGCGTGATCGTGTCGAGGTGGGGTATCAGTGGGAGGAGGAGGTGGAGGAGGAGGAGGAACAGGAGGAGGGGGAGGAAGGGCAGGAGGGGTACGCGAACGCGTGAGCAGCTGGCCAAGCCCGAATCAGGCGCCGCTACCCGGTGGTTCCGTTCCCCTTGCTCCACTCTCTTTCTTTTTTGCGCCCACTTCTCTTTCTCATTCCTCCTCCCTCTCCATTGTTTTCCCAGTTGGGCAACGCTCGGCCAAAACGGCTACGGTGCGCCATGTTTTCTCCTCTCATCTTCCCTTCCTTTCTTCTCCCTACACCCCCTCTCTCTCCTCTCTCTCTCTCGTCCCTGGCCTCCCCTCTCTCCTTCTTCGTCCCTCCCCCTCTCTCTCCTTCTTTTTCCCGTTGGGGAGCTCCGAAATACAAGGTAAATGGGGTATCCTCGTTATTCCTCACCTCCCTATTTCTCGTGCCCCACGTATTCCCTCCCGCCGTCTCTCTAGGTGCTATTTTCTTCTTCATGGCCTTCCTCTATGGGGGAAAAGTTGGGATG